CACTGATGCCGTTCACAATGCATTTTCCGAACATGCCACCATGCAGCCGTTGCTTTCGAGTGATTGTGCTGCATCTTTTTCGCAATGAGCGGCGCAACGGCTATGGCGCATCCCGCGAGGGATTGCGATCCGGCATGGAGGAGGTGGATGGAGAATGTCGCTACCACATCGGTATGCACGAACGGCAAATACGACGCTAACCTCGCCGCCACGGTCAAGGGCCTCCTGGAGACGACCTCTGCACAGTCGCTTATCCATACATGGGTGCAGGACCAGCCGCACTTCCTGCAGTTGCTTACACCCCTGTTAACTATAAGCGAACCTTACTTGAAGGTTGTGCAGGCCCCACGTGTACCAGATCGCGACCTCCTTATCTGTGTGACTGTCGCTGATTCAGGATTGTCCATGGTTTCGGGCAAGAAGAAAAAGCTTCGCAAGTATGACTTTGCGGAGCGTTTGGATGCTTCTCGCCCGGCGCGTGTCGGTGCATGGAGGTCAGAAATGCTTTGGGGCAAGGGCTTACAACAGCTGTGCAAGCGGTTGGCCGCCCTCATCGACGAGGTGCGTACCGACTACCCAGCAGCCACCATCATTCCGATGATTTACTGGAATGGCAACGAGCTCGTTGGGAAGGACGGCCTCGAGCCCACTGGTACATATCCATTTGATGCCCCCACCGGCGAGTTCGGTCAACTTCTTGCTGACTCCAAACGGCACCTGGCTTGGACCAGGGACTTCGCGGCCCGCAAGGGCTGCGCATGCCTTGGAGTCATGACCGGCGCGAAAAGCTATCTCTACGGCTTCTCTATGATTTGGGACCGTTTCATGACGGAAGTCCGGGATTACATCATCGGCGACCCCAATCATATGTTTGTGTACGTAGATGCTACACCCTTTGTTGAGACCATCGATTTGCTGGACAGGTATCATATGTGCTTCAGTGACGACAACATCATGAAGACCGTCCAGTTCATGCGCGGAACCCATCACATGTTGTATATGCTTTCTATCTTGCGCCCCGCAATGGGCAGCGTAGCCGAGCTGACACGTTCGCATGATTGCACCATGCGTCCGATCGATGTGCTCGAGGTGCGCCACCAAGAAGATTGCACAGTCAACGTTGAGGTTCTCGCGTACTGCAAGGAGACGCTAACGAAGTGCGGTGTTTCTTTGTCAGAGATGATCGGGCTCCCTTTCACCCGTGAAGAAGTGGAAGTCCGGCAGCCCCTCGATTTCGCCCCCGTCAACCCAGCCGAGTTTGCAACTACAGGTGAGCCTTCCGGTGCTGATGTTTCCGAAAGTGTTCGCCCGGCGCAAGCCGGTGCAAAGGCGGCTGCGGTGGCAAAAAGGGACGAGGAGGCGAGCAGGCCGGTACCACTCGACTCCTACGGGAGGAGCGTGACTGGGGGCCACTATGACTGCTGGGTGTATAGCATTCATGATGGCGTGAAGTATGTCGACTACGGTGAGGGCCCCAAGAGACTCGACATCATCAAGCAGCCCTCTTTCGATTACGACCCTTCCGTCAGGAGAATCAGTGATGAATACCACCGTTCCCTGACGTGCATCTCCAAGATCCTCCGTGGTCGCGGAACAGAAGGATGCGGGTATGTGATGGATGAGGACGGCTACATGGACCTTGAAGACCTGGGACTCGCGCTTCGCAGGGAGCTGCGACATCCCATTCCATGGAATATGCAGAATATCATGGACATCTTCAAGCTGGACAAAAAGCAGAGGTTCATTGCGCTTGGTTGCCCGGACGCAAGCCGGTGCGGAGACGTCCCATGTTCTCATTGGCTGTTCAAGCTGAAGGCCTCCCAAGGCCATGAGGACTGGCTCCAGATCGACGACTCCGGCATCGCGAAGGAGTGGTACGTGAACCCGGGGACTGACCTCGGGCGCTGGTCTGGCTGGAACGTCTGCAGCAACCCTCCTACGGTGCTTTATCACCGCACTGATAAGCGAAACTTCGCTAACATTATGCGGAACGGACTGCTTCCAGGAGGAGGGGACCAGCACGAGACAGGCAGACCTCACGTTTTCTTCGCTGACGTCCCAAGCACGAATGAAAATTACATCTCAGGTGTACGTGCGAACAAACCCCTGGAGATACAGATCGACCTCAGGATGGCCATTCGCGCAGGGCTTTGCTTTTTCAAGACGGAGAGCGATGGTGTCCTTACACGCGACAAGGTGCCCAACTACACGATTATTTCGGTATTGGACGCTACAAATGGCGATGTATGGTACACTCGCTCCGAGCAATCGGATGCAGGTGCACCAGCTGAGGCGGCTGAGGATGAACCCCAGGGAATGAGGCGCGACCAAGCCGTGGTTGATGATCGTTCAACAGCGCTGGAACGTATTGCTACAACGCGCACCAATGTGGCCTCTCCTCGCGCCCCGCAAGGGGAAGCGAAGAGACAGAAGACTTTCAACCCAATGGAGAACGTTGAGCTGAACGTCGCCACGTGCCCGGTTTGCAACAACAGCGTATTCGAGGGGCAGGTCCACTGCTCATCGTGTGGGCAGTTGTCTCCCCTCAACCCACGCCTGCTGAAAGAGCAACAGAAGAATTATATCGTGCAGCGTTCCAATTTGCTGAAGAAGATGGGCCTCAGCACCCACGTCACAGCTCAGGTCCTGGCATCTGTGGGAACATTTGACCTCCGCGAGGAGGATCGTAGCAGCATCATTCGTGGCTTGAACTCCCCGGACAGTGCTGTTATTCAGGAGGCACGGAAGAAGCACAAGTCCGCTCTGAAGAACGGCTACCACTCTCTGCTTGATCGCTATGAACTCGACCTTCAATACAGGGTTCGTATGCTTGAGGTGGGCCGTCGGGAGGCGGATATGCTCCGCATGGAGTTGAGCGCAAATCTCGTCTTGGCTGCTCCAAAGCAGTCGCAAGCCCAGCGCACTCTGGGAGTTGGCCATTGGATCAACTTCGGAGTCGCGAATCGCAAGGCTCGCGTATATCAAGACAGAGTTGGAGTTCCTGCCCAACGAACTTCAAGATGCTCTTTCCTCTCGCTGGATCATTATGTTCCAAGGGATGCCTTACAGCCCAAGAGCCTTCATCAACGTGGTCTTTGAGCAAGACAAGCCTCGCAGCATTGGTTGTTGGAATGGCATCATCCATTTGCGAAGCAACACGTTGGATGACCTCCGCCACGAGATGGACTGGATTTTCAGCCAGAATGAGCGGTATGCACGTAACTCGATCGAATTTTCGAGGAACGAGAGCAGCAAACACCTTGCTCGCAATGCCGCTCGCCATGCCGAGACAAGAGCTCCCGCCGCCCGCGAGGGTGAGCATTGGAGCCAAGGCAGCTGGCAGAATTGGTCCGGATGGAGCGGATGGGACAACAGTAGCGGTAGCTATTCTACGTGGCAGTGGCGCTGAAAGCGCAACTGTCATGGTTTGCATGTGACAATGGTTCCCCTGACCTTCTCCCTCTGTGGTGTTACTGTTTGGCTGCTTTGTGAAAGGCCCCTTTAACACGCAGAGGGGGGTGAAGAATTTGATCGGTTAATATGGGGTTTTACATCCGTTGCATCCGCAGTGTGGCTGTTCAAGCGTGAAAATGTGCGAGCAGCGCACTTGGACGGTTTGTTGTTTCCTTTGGGCCCCAAACCGGTAACCCTTGAATCTATAGTGGGGTGGGTTGTGGATGTGGTGTGCATGTTGTTTTTGTTTTTTCTTCTGATGGATCCCACTGAATTAATTTCCGCCATAGGAAACTCACATGGAAGCACTTCTTTGTCAGGGGGTGATTTGCACAGCCAGGTTATAGGACTGTTCCGATAAACCCATAGTATGCCCTGGGTTTCATGGCTGGTCTTTGGATCCCCTTACATCTTCTGGCAACTGCTGGATCATATTTTCTGCGCTTGAAGCAGTACAAGTTGGGCTCGCTTCCCTCACCCTCCGCTCGGTTGACTGGGTACATGCCACACAGGAAGTCGCACAATGTCCAGCTTGGATGTGGGGTGATTCTGTGCCCATTGAGTCGTGGTTCAGGGCGCTTCTGTTCCCCAGAACAGAAATCCCTTGTGAGCAACACTTTTGCTGGAGCCTGTGCAGAGGAAAAAACACTGACCCCAGTGAGACAAATCCACAAAAGCCTTGAGCCAAATACCGCTTCGGTGTGACTCGCTTGCGTCGGCACGGATTCCGCTATGCATTGTTGTTTGGCTGATCTGGTAGCTCAGCGTCCAACATTGATTTCCTGGCTAGTTGTTTTCTAAAAAACAAATCGAAACAAGTTCCTAGGATTGTAAGGGTCGGATGGGACCCTCGTTTATTCCCATGTCCGGGTTCCCAGATTTAGGGGTTGGTTGACCTGTTGACCTTTTTGGGAACGCGCGTTGTTACTCCATGATTCGCCGCTCATCAAAGTTTTTAACAAACCAGAGCCGGATAATCTCAGCGTGACTGTTCCAGTACGCTGAATGAGACAAGAGAAGAGTAAACGAGGGGTGTTCTGATGTTCAGTGCAGACCTTGCATATTGAGCCATGGCCAAGGTAAACATAGCAGCTGAATGGTGGCGCCATTCACGATGTAAGGCCATTAATACCCAGTCCTTCGCATTTCTCCCCTTGCCATGGTCCCCATGGTCATGACTGAAGCCCCCAGAAAAGTTGATACCCAATTAGTTGTTTGCGAATCCCCTTTTCCAGTTTTATTCTCCCGCATGGTTGCTCCCGGCCGCTAAAGGATGACACCCGAGCCTTGCGTAGCTGGTTTCGCTTCCTTTCATTTCCCTTCATCAGGAACATTGGGCATGTGTCAAAATAGGGGACCCCCAAAAATCGAGGCTCTGGCCGTACCACGACTAGCTTTTTGTTCGCACTGACAAGACTTTTGGTGTCCAACATGGTGGCTTTCCTTTTGTTTTCATTTAATAACCAGCCTGAGAGGGTACCAACTCCCACTTTGGGTTTCCTTCAACACCACCACCCACGTCCCAGAAGCACGGCGAGTCCTCTCAGGGGGTGCCTGGCTTCGCCTACGTGATCTGCCGCCGGGACGCCTTGGAGAAGTCCAAGGGCAATGCTCGAAGTCTCACCATGGCGCCTGGCCTAACGCCCGAGCTTCCAGTTGCAAGCTGCTATAGTAGTTAACGAGTTAACCGGATATGGCTACCTCTAGGTTTTACATCATGGTTTCTCTTGGACTACTATAGTGCACTGGGTAAAAACGTCACCTTTGATTCAGACGTGTTTGCATGTGTTTGTTCCCGTGGAGACTTAGCAGGGCGAGGCGTAGCCAAGAGTGAGTTGTGACTATCCGCATCTATTGACATCTATTAGCAGACATGAGCAACCACTAAAAGGCCATGTCCTTCGCTTGGCTGCCCAATCTCAACAAGCTTTGGATTTGTGGGAATTGCCTGTGCGACCGCAGCCTGATGCACTTTCGGCCCCCATTCAAAAGCATAGCTTCCGGCTGGCAACCTCTTCCTTTAATACAGCGTTGGTCGTTAGGAGGAGAAACACATATGAACCGATGACCATTTTGTTTAATTCGGTGGCCAGTCCGTCAGTTGCATGCCTTTTTATTTGCTGGTAAGCACAAGGGTGCTTGTTCGCATTGATCATGTTGAATTTCAACATTGAGGACTATTCCGGCTAAAATCATCGGGTGTGTGGTTGTGTGCTCGAATGGAATCATGACCGAGTGAGGCATTCCGTTCATTTGCGCTGAGATAGAAAGGCTTGCCAGCATAGGTCATTACACAAGCCAAATTGGGCCAATTCAATAGGCGACCAGGGTATCCAGACAGTCGTGATCGCAGGCCGACTCAAGATGAGTTTCCGTTTGATACCAATATGGTGATGTTTAATATAGGGATCTTCGATCTCTCGCTCGGCCAATCACGTCCTGCACGGGTTGATTGCTCGCACCATGGGCTATATAGCTGTTGATGTTACACCCAAAGCACAGTTATATGATGTGAGCCAGTGTTTAAAGATTCTTGCATACTATTCGGTTGTTCTGGGCAGCTGGTTGGCATCCAACGTCCAAAGGCCCGACTCATCAAGGTTGTTTCAGAACAAGTGGCTGGCTTTTTTCTCAGAGGGAACCCTTAGCCGGCTGAGGACGTCTACGACCAGTGGGCGAACATGGAGAAGACTGGGTGTCAAGCCCAAGGGGAGGGTTTTTGGTCATGCGCGCTTGGACAGTGGAAACCCAGACTGAAAAAGCTTGTTGTTTGCAAATAAGAGCGCAGGTGGTGCCAGGTTTGCTATTCCTGGGTCAACATTATTCAAGTACCACTTTAATCAGATCCGTACAAAGTAGGTGAAGCTGTTGACAGGTCATGCGATCTTAAATGGCCCCTGATATCCCTGATGGTGCAGTTGTTTTTCTTTGACGAGGGCAACAGTGGTAGATGCAGCACCAGAGGACCTGTTTGCTTTGGAAGTCTATGGTCAAGCCTTTGACATTTGTCCACCGGGGGGGCTGACAGCTACCTCAGGCAGTTCCGCTACACACCCCCGACCCACGCCATCTTGGCCTTTCGCCAGGCGCGCATGGGACGGCACGTTCACTTGCTCGGTTTGGAGTTGAGAGGTTACCAGTGCTTTACTATAGAATCTAGAATTATATTTTTTCCCTTCATACTTTGAGAACTCTCTAGTGAAGCACGGGCGACCTGTCAAATCCAAACCTACTTTGCCGGGTATTCTGCAGATTGTTGCCAGCTTGGGATTGGGCTGTTGCTTCTTTAGCTTTCGGGCACTCAAGAAACTTGGGAATGGGCTGACTGCGCTGAAGGAACCCTTTCTGCAGCTCGGGCGATCCACCCAGCACGATTGGGGCCGGCAGTGTCAAGGATGCTAGACATCGAATGGAAGATCAGCCCAAGATTCGCTACTGGCATCTGGAGACGCCAATTGGCATTGGTACACCATGGGCGATTAGATTCCATTGCACCTCTGGAATACTCAAGGGCTTTGGCAAAGGAAAGCTTCGACCTTCTTCTCAGGCTCACTTGGCGACTGGAGACGGGGATGTCCCGCATGTCCCGCCCCACCTGCGCCGCCCCACATGCAGTAGTGCAGCACATCCCCAGCATCACCAGCAGGTCCTTGGCGTGAGTGACACTGCAATACCCCAAAACGGCCAAAGTTGAAATGAACAACGGACGCCCCGGAACGCTTTAGATGGGCCGATGTTGAAAAACCTGTCCCAAAGGCTGGCCCTAGAGAGGTTTCACCAGAATAGCAGCGAACTGCTTGTTTTTCACACCCTTTCCGTGCACCTCCCCTTTTGGCAGAACGGGTCGGCGGATGTAGGCTTTGTCTTTCCCCTTTCCGAGGCGTTGGCCGAGTTCCAGCAAGAGGGCGGCCGCACTGCACGGGCGGCTAGATATCAAGCCGGCGCCCCAGCGGCCGGAAAGAGGCCCCCATGTTGCTCTGTGGATCCAGCCTCATTTATCAACTCTTTCTTATGGTTTCCCCGCTTAAAACTGGTTGCCAACCCGTC